ACAAATTCCCAAACAATGATCACACTTTTCAGCCAGGCATTTATAACAATATGTGGCCCTTTAAACAGCTTAGAATTTGGTCCTTAAAAGTACCCTGTTTTCAAACTGCTTTGGTTTTAAGCTTTCATTGCAAAAAAGCAATGCTGTTTTTATGGGTCACAATTATTGGAAACCAATATCCAAGATAGCTCTATACCTGAAATGAATTAGACTTCGTATCTACATTGCTGAAGTCATCAGATGCCCAATTGGAAGACAAAACATTCTCAAATGAAACAAGTGGTGAATTGAAAAACCAGAAGAGTGCAGGTTTCCAGGGACCCACGGTGGCCAGAAGTCAGATCAGATTTAAGGCAATTTGGAAATGCAAAAACAAGTAAAAAATAGCATATGAGAGTTCAAGTAGCAATGAATCAATGCCTAGAGATTCAACAATAAGTTTATATGTTCATTTACATAATACGTACTTAACTATATTTTACCATCCGTTTCACATATGAACTGTCTTATTTAAATTGACATAAAGAAATACACTATGTGAATTCTGTTTGTAATCATTTACGTGATAGCTCATTTATACCTGTAAGTAATCACCTGATAAGTTTATCAAGAATGAATCAGCATGTGTGAACAAATATTTGCCAGGGATGCTTGAGAAACAGATTAGCAAAACTCAGAATATTTAACAGTGGAATGCTTAAGAGAACCAAAGGAATAAAAGGATGTGTACTTGGTAAAGAAAGAAATGGAAGTAATGGAAAATAAAAATATGTGCAGAAATGTCTAGTTCTGTCTAAATACATGTAGGATCTTAAAATGTTTGAAAGACTAGTAAGAGCTAGGAAAAATATTACTACTGGTTGGAAGGTAGTGGTTGCCGAGTTTGGAGAATGAATGCAAGATTAGGTGAGGTGGGAACAAATTCTTGAGGAACACAGAATGGTAAAAAAATAGGAGGAAAAACAGGGTTATGCATGTGCTGAACCTTCCCACTGAAATCAATGGGATCACAAACCTTAACTTTGTCTGGACTGTGCCTTAGTTATATGTAATCATTTCTCAGTTAAGTCAATATTTATTATACCATGAAAACATTTTATGATCAGAGGTATGTAACTATTCCATTTAAAACACATAAATTAAGATTCCATGCTAGAATTTGAGTTATTGCTCCAGGAAATTCTAATAATTGCATAGCTATTTGCTAGTCATTTTTAGTTATAAAATGACATAATGTTACACTTCTGTTTACTTCTGTCAAGCATGTACACATTTATTTATTTGGGTTTTTTAAATCTACCCTACTGCTGAAAATTCAGGGTGGATAATATTAAGAAACATTTTATTCATGTATTTAATAAATATTTATTACATATTTATAAGGGTGAAATGAAATTATTGCTATTTTAATGAATATTCAAAGCAAATGTGTTATTGGTCCTTCTTAGTTTCCAAACACCCCTTAAAACACTGTGTATGAAGAGTTTAAATAACACTGCCTTGGACACGTCAGTATTTATAATTTTTAATGATAACTAAAACTTTGCTGTGAGTCACCATTTTTCAAATAGTCAATTATTATTTGATTTCCAAGAACTTTCATTTTATTATTTGGTACAATTTCTGCATTGAAACAATACTGTGCAGTCCTGAGATCTATTTTGCAACTGAATGTCACATTTCACAAATACAGCTCTTGTAGTATTTATTCAGAAGTCAGTTTGTTCAACAACTTAAGACTTTGATCAAAGATTGGTTGTTAGACTTGCCCTCCCTTTCTCCACTACAAGCTCACACATTTTTCCTCTTGCCAGTCAACCCTCTAGTTTGTGTACTCTCTCCATCAGAAGTCGACTTTTGATTATAGCTAGATTTATAATAAAATTAGAAATTTTGCCTCGAAAATGAGTTCAACATGGATTTAATTTGAAATCATTCTTGAGAGTTCAATTTTTTATGAAATTCTTACCTCAGCGACTATAACCATCATGGGCATCAGTCAAGACATTCTAGATCAGTGTTTCTCAACCTTGACAATTTTAAGGCATGTGGACTTCAACTCCCAGAATTCCAGTCAGCATTGCTGGCTGTGGAATTCTGGGAGTTGAAGTCCACATGCCTTAAAATTGTCAAGGTTGAGAAACACTGTTTAGATGCTCAGGATACTCCCCATCAGCCTCCATATTAGCCCTGCTTTTTAAATTTATGCTTCTTTGGCAGATGGACATATTTACAAGCAAAGCACAGGGCTGCATCCATTTAGAGTTTTTAATGTGGAAGAATGCATGTGGGGCTATATGGAATCCAGGTGCACTGAATATAAATGCAACTTTAAATTCTAATACTTTGATTTGCAATGTAAAAACTTTTTATATTGTTTTAAATTTTAAAATGAAAAAATAGAGACATTTTCAGTTTCAAAATACTTGAGTCCTCTTATAAAAATGGACCAAATGTTCAACTATAGCCTTGCATCATCTCTGCCTTTAAACTGCAGGATAAAAGAACATTCCTGTTAGTTTCCTACAACAAAACAGTTTCCCGCTCTGCCACACTGCTCCAACTTAAAAAAATAGCTTTTTGCTTATCCAGCAGAAATGCTAAGAGGCTCAGCTCCACAGCTTCCTTGCGCTGATTTACCATTTGTTGACATGCCTTCACAAGAGTCTCCATCTTGTTGCCACTGCCTGGAACAATGTGAACCAGCAGAAAAGGATATTTTGTACAAGGAAATGGAAAACATTCTAGCAATAGCAACAGCATTTCGACTTGTATACCACTTCACAGTGCTTTACAGCCCTCTGTAAGTGATTTACAGAGTCAGCATATGGCCTCCAACAATCTGGGTTCTCATTTTACCGACCTCAGAAGGATGGAAAGCTGAGTCAACCTTGAGACGCTCAGAATCGAACTCCTGAAGTCAGCAGTGGGTTAGCCTGCTGTACTGCATTATAACCACTGTGCCGCCACAGCTCTTCTATTTAGACGTTCTACTTTGCACAGAGGAAGAAGGTGGAGGTAATGTGGTCTTTGCGGGTGGGTGGGGGAAGGGTGTGACTTATTTGACTCCCAATTGCTTCTTTCTGTGGGATCATCCATTTCTGGTTGTTGGCCTCCTATAGCTGTAGCTTCTTTTGTGAGAGCTTGGAAACCTGATTCTCCAGGTTTTGTTTTTTAAATTGTTAAGAATAACCAGTTGACCTAAAGAGAGGATGCTGCCCTGGGTGGACAACCTGAATATCAGTCTGCTTCATGCTGTGGAACACAATAGTGGGAAGGGGAGGGTGAAATTGACCAGGTTTCCTCCTTTATGGCAGCTAAAGTTCTCCAGAGACCCCAGAGGCAATGGAATTGGTTCTCTCTGCCTCTGATACATTACTGACAGTCAAATACAAGAACCTCACAAAGGTTATTAAATAAGGAAGTAGATTACTAAATTTTAGAGCCCAATTTAGCTCTGGGCTTGCTAGGCTGAAGTCATCTTCATTCTCTTCATACTGTAATAACTATTTGATGAACAACAGACAGCTCCCTTTCTCCCAGATAATGAAGAATGTGCAGATCTTCTGAACTTGCCCTATTTTTCAATCAACTCTCCTCTTTCCAGAATCTGAGAATATTAACAACCTCCCTTCTTCCTTCCCCACCAATTACGAAGTCAGGCTGGGGAACATGTTCCACTTGCTGGGGAGATGGTGGAGGATCCAGGGTACTAACGCTGGAGAGGTAAAATATTCTTTCTGTCAAAATTGCTCCAAAAGATGGAACATGCAGGGAATCTAGTCAGAGATGCTGGCAGTTCCACATGCCTTTCCAACAGGCAGCACAAAAAAGTCAAATCAAGAACAGGAGTGGTGTCTCAGGACAGCACAGCTCTTTTGTACCGTATACCTGTTGAAGAACACTTACAGCAAAGATGTTGGCTTTGTGGTGATAGGACAAATCCATACTTTAAGACTGTATTTATAGATGTGAGTCCTAGGCAGATGGTAAAGCCACAGACAGGGACTAAAAAAATCAGCCACTTCCACTGTCGTATATTTTTTCTTTCAATTCAGCCCAACTTTAATATATAATATTTGCTTAGACTGACATTTATTAAACATAAAGGTTTGCTACCATCATGTTGAGTTCTAAGGAGAATATGATATATGTAGGAATAGCAGCCTCAATAGAAGAGTTTTGTCTATATTATATATTATTATGCCCATTTATCTGAAGAGAAGAAAAATCAATGATCATCAAACTATTTATAAAGCCATTGAGAATGTCATTTATATTTATCTGACCTGTTGTTTTAGACTAATATCTAAGATTGTTTATTTAGGTTTTCACGCACCACGCTTAGTGCAAACAACACTACAGTCCAATCAGGGGAGATGCATTTATGATCTTTTAGACATAAAAACAATCATTGATAAATACTGCAGACTATACAACAATACTAAGCTCCAGAGCTGTAGGAAGAGAAACTTATCATCATCTTGCAAAGACAGAACAGATTTCAACCTTATTGGGGGAACTGTTCCTCACTCATGGGGCAATAATACTATATCTTAATTCAGAGGTGATGTGTATATAACCTCTCTCATCAGGGTAAAATATCTGATAAAAATTATGTAAAAATGAGGAGTACTGGTGGTGGGGAATAATACTGCATTTAAAGCTGGTTTTGATCCAGTATAACTTCTATGCATGTTTCAAGTTCCATCAAAAAAACAAACAAAAAAAACAACAACACAAGTGTCAATCGTCTAAAAGTATAAATAATCCCTCAGAAATTCAACCAGAACTGTCTTCTTGAGAGAGGACAAACAAATTATTGAGTATCTAAAGATATTGGATCTGAATATTTGACAATCCAAGACAGAAGGGATGACTTTCCCAGCAAGGGAAGACATATTGATAAATGCTTAACGATCTAAGCACATCAGGTCTTTATGCTGAAAAAAGGTGATTAGCATTTTCCTTCTCTGATGTCTTCCCCGAAGTGTTTTCAACTATGGCTGTGGGGCAGAGGATAACTGAAAGAAAAACAAAAGATGGACTTTTAACACTTGCAGGGATCTGCGTCCTTACATGATGTTTCTGTGTTTCTTATTTTTTAAAAAAAATAGTTGACAATGAATGAATATCCCATAAACAGGTTTTAAATCTTTTTGCTTGTATCGATTGTGTAATTGACAGGTCAGAATTATATTTTACAATAATACGTTGTAAAAAAAAAGGCTTCCGTGATTTCTCTTTTCCCTTCAAAAGAGGCAACAGATTTGTGCTAGAATACAATTTTATGAGGTTTATCAAAGAATGGACAATTGTATTAAATCAGGAAAATTTTGTTTAAAGTTTAAAACAATTAAAGCACTTTTGTGAAATGGTTCTCTTCATCTTTATAGACTACTGCTGTGAATGGCAATGAATATTCCTCAACCCATGTTTTACCGCTTTAGCACAGCCAATAGAAACAGAATGATGTATTAATGACCGGGCCTAATCACCTGCTGCAAAAACAAATAGATGCTGAATGTTAATAGAAATAAACTCAAAATGGGGCGAAGAAACAAGAGAAATGAAATCAGCAACTCTATAGTAGTTCCATAAGGAAAAGAAAAAGAAAAGAAAAAAAAGAAAAGGTGGAGAGCATTAAAAATTCTGATTCCATGAGAAATGAGAATGCCCATCAACCATGCTGTATCAATAAACTGAAAAGAAAAAAGGAGGAAAAATTGGTCTGCACGAACTAAAGTCATGAACATTTCTCCTGGTTTTCAGGGTTACCTGAGTTCGCAGAAAATCCACCTCTTCTGTAAGTATTTGCCGCTCCTTGTATAACTCATTCTGTTTGTTGAGTAACTCCACAAGCTGCTGGGCAGAAGACTGGCAATGCTTGTCAAGCTGGTGTAATCTGGATCAAATATATACAAAAGAACAGAATTATAAATGTAAAGAGTGAGCAAATTTGCAAGAGGTATTCTTTGGATGCCTTTCCCTCTATTATGGAAACATTGCCAGGCTACATTCACTAGCTTGTTGAAGAAAAGTTACTCAATAGCACACAGAATAACAGCTGAAAGGGACCTTGAAGGTCTTCTAGTCCAACCCCCTGCTCGAGCAGGAGATGCTATATCATTCCAGACAAGTGGCTGTCCAGTCTCTTCTTGAAAGCCTCCAGTGATGGAGCACCCACGACTTCTGAAGGCAAGCGGTTCCACTGTTCTCGCCATTAGGAAATTTCTCCTTAGTTCTAGGTTGCTTCTCTCCTTGATTAGTTTCCATCCATTATTTTTGCCTTGTCTTCTGGTGCTTTGGAAAATAGGTTGACCTTCCCTCTTCTTTGTGGCAGCCTCTGAGATATTGGAACACCGCTATCATGTCACCCCTAGTTCTTCTTTTCACTAGACTAGACATACCCAATTCCTGCACCCGGTCTTCATATGTTTTAGCCTCCAGCCTCCTAATCATCTTTATTGCTCTTTTCTGCACTCTTTCCATGGTCTCAACATCGTTTTTTATAATATGGTGACCAAAACTGGATGCATTATTCTAAGTGTGGTCTTACTAAGGCTTAATAAAGCAGTACTAATACTTCATGTGATACACAATGCACAATGTACTATATATCACATTCCTATTCCGAGCTAGGAAACAGTATAGCTTTACAATTGTTGTAAATTATGTATGTACAATTTATAATATTGATTGTAAAAATATAATCCGGACTTAGATCTATTGAGATTCTGATGTTTTTAATTAAATAAGGTCCTCCCTCCCAAACTAAACAGCTATATATTTATCAGCCCAAGATAACTATAAAACATATACATAATAAAAAAATCACTCAACGTCTGTCTCCTGGTTATAGACATACACCATGTTGTAATGCAATGTTACTAAAACAGTGGTTGGTGCAAACAGCACTTATTATCAGTTATATGACAACCTGGAGCCCTTTATATACTTTGCCAGAAATGAAATTCCTATTTTTTTACAGTTTAAAGCAATAGCTGCAGAATAGATATTTGAGACAGTCAAAGGGAGATGTATGAAACGAAAACCTGGAGCCATTCAACCTACTCCTTAGTCTCTGATGTACACATATATTTGATGAGATGTTGTCATTAATCAATGCAAACTGTATGAAAAAAAATCTTGGAATATGTCTTTTGGGATGATCCAAGGGCATATTAAATCAAAACTGTTTGATTTAATATTTTTGAAGGCTAGAGTTCATTGATTTACATGGTTTCTCAGAAAACTGTCTGGACAACTATCTGTCAGTGATGTTTGAAACTGGATCAACAATACATTGGAATTTCTTTTCCAATTTCTGTACTAATTCTAGTTTTTATAGTTGTGAGGCTTTGGTGTTTGTTTTTTAATTGATTTAGGCTGAATTTCTCTTGCCTAAGCAATGGGGAAATTTCATGGGTTATGTGTGCTCCCTTCCAATTTTATGAATCAAATCCCTAAGTAGACAAGAAAGCCTTTTTTGAACCAGGAGTACAGATGCCAGCCATATGAACAATACACTGGAATTACTTTTCCAATTTCTGTACTAATTCTTATTCTAGTTTTTATAGTTGTGAGGCTTTGGTGTTTGTTTTTTAATTGATTTAGGCTGAATTTTTCTTGCTTAATAAGGTTTGCATGTCTTTATAAACTCTTTTATTCTGCTGTTCAAACATACAGCATCCTTTGGAACCTCTTTTCTCATTTGTATTCCACAACAGCCATTGTAAATCAATTCTAATCTGTTCACCTACTTCACTCAATCTTGAATAAGGAACGTGTTTTGACTGATTTATCCTTTTCATTCACCTCCTGTCTACCTTCTGTAGCAAATGTTTGACCTGTTTTTTTTTTGTCTGATTGATGATTTGTTTATTTTGATTTTGGCATCAGGATGACTCTGGATAGCTTGTTTGCTTTTTGGCCACACAACAGCTATTTATTGCCACAAGAAGCCAATTCAAACATTCGGAAGGAGAAGCCCTCTCAGCCACTTGTTCTGCCCATCACCCTCCTGGCCCCAAGCAAGGGGCTTTCAAGTACTGGGGCATGTTATGGTACCTGTTTCTCAGTTCCCTCCTACTGAGGGCAGATGGGAAGAATAGTCAGCCCAGCAAGCAGCATTAAAACACCACTACCTGGTTCTGCTATTTCTCTGTGCCTCTGCTTATGTTCTGAAACTGGGAATACAACTAGTTATTTCCACAGCCAAAGTGCTGAGTTGGAGAGGCAGATAGCAGTCATACGCAGCCTTGCTTTCTTTGACCAACTGAAGCAGCATAGGGTCCTTGGATTGTCCAAGACATGCCCAAGACATGCTTTTTACCTTCCATCCCTGCTTTTGAAGACAACTGCTTTAGCCAATAAAAATTACTTGCCTTCTGATTGACATCTGTGAAATTAAGAAAGATTGCTTCATTCTAGTGCTTGGAGATTTGGGTGGGAACCTGAACCTGCCAGGGGTGCCGCAGAGTATGGTGAAAAAAGTCAAGATGGTGGCCATAAAAGTGTGATCAAAATTTGCTGTTTTTTTTTTAAATGGGCAGAGCTTCAACTGTACCATCACAGCCACCATCTTGACTTTTTTTTTTAACCATACCCTGTGAACACTCTTACTATCCACACTACTATTATTGCAGGCCTTTGGACACAGCTCCCACCCTGAAGCCTGATCCAACAGCCATTAGAACAGACTGATTCCCTCTAGCTCCAAAATGGGAAGAGGGCAGTTCACGCAATCTCCCTGATGACCATTCAAAAAAAATAAAATTAACAGAGAACTAACCAGTTCTGATTCCGGGATAAGGGGGTAAAGAGGAAGTGAAAAGGCTGGCAGGTTCATGTCCTGACTGAGATGGAAGGGAGAGGAATGAAAGACGGGGGTTGTTTGCCTGGAGAGGTAAGACAGCACAGTTCACTAGCTTTTGCCTGGCTGTTGTTTCAGCAGCTAAGAAAGCAGCAGCAGGCAGCAAATAATATAAACAAGCAGCCTTATGTTCAAACACCTGTGACATCAATATAATTAGTCCAATGACAAATTCCAGGTTGGTACCCACAGAAACACAGGCAGGAATAAATGAAGGATGCTTTCATGAAACATTTGACCACCATGTCCTGAAAAATATGAAATACCTGCAACTCGACAGTAAATTGTCAAAATAACTAAGGACACAACCAATCACTCCATTTCAATGTTAACAAAAATAGTGTGGCCAACTAGGGAAACTGGTGATCATGGAAACCTCCATGTGTTTGTGAAGAATCGGACAGGACTTCTCCATAGATGGCTTCCTTTATGTCAAGAAAATAACCTCTATTACAGCAGAAAGGCCAGTTGTGACTCCGTCCCTGAAGCTTTAAACCTGAGTTCGAGATGGTACAGATCTCCTTGTGGAGGATCAGTAAATCTGAATGTCTTAAGAGGTGAACATAATCCCATTAGAGAGGACCAAAGGTTGGATGTGAAACCGTCACGTCTCATTAGCAGAGTTTATCCTTCACTATAAACTTGGTTAAGAATGAGAAGATGTACAGAAATGGTCTGCCCAACAGAAAATAAATGCATCTCCCAGGGCTAAGTTGCTTCAGTGTTAACAAATGGAACACATCACCAAGCTACATGATTCCCCTTTGTGGAATGACACACTTGGATGAATGAATTTATTCATGAAGACATGCCTGTTCACTAAGACATGTGACATATCGCAACATGAAGTATGCAGGAGGTACCCAGTTGCATATGGCATGGTAAGTGCAGCAGTGATATTATTTTTCTGACCACTGTTGGGTTTTCTGATACACCTTCAATGATACAATTGTGAAACTTACTTGCAAAAGTGCATAGCATTCCAAATGCTGCCAGAAATTCTAACCCAGTTATATGAATGATGGCCTTGGTTGCCATTCAAAGATGTTGGAAGGGAAGGCAACGTGCCATTAGACCTGTTTCCTATCACCCCTAGTAATATTTTCAGATGGGGAAAGGGGTGCATGTAAAAGTGAATGTACACTAGGAGAAGTTAAAAATAGGATGATTGTTGAGAACAAAAAATGCTCTGTAGACATTTGCCTAAACATAATCACCGATGGTTTTCAGCACACGACCCAAGAGCCCCAAGAATTCCTTTGTCTTCAGTGCTCATTATGAGGATGATATTGAGGTTCAGAACTGAGATAAATGACTTTTCAAGAAGCTCTAGGAGTTCTGTTTGTAAGCCCTGGAGCTTAGCCAAGAGAGACTTATTGACATCACCAGGAGCTGATGGAAATTTATGCAAATGAAATCTCCGAAGCTGTTTTACTCATCTTGATCTGAGATATCAGCACTTTGCAGAAGCCCGGAGACCCCCAGTGGTCACTCCTTCAGATAAAACTGGTAATGAGGAGTGGCTCAACTCTATACATTTTAGCTATGAAAATGCAGAGGAAAATTCTAAAGGCTTTATTTTATGGCTAACAGAATGTTCAGAAAATGACAGAATATTAAAAACTAAACCTATGCCATATATGATGAAGAAGATATGCTAGAACTATATAATAGGACAGCCCTAGAGTTAATCATGTATTTACTATGTGGGAAAGATTACATCAATAAATTATGACTTTCTTTGCAGAATAGCTTGGTACATCTTCTTTGGAAATGAGTTCCATAATGCAGAATGCATTTATCTGCAACAAAAAAGGGTAGACACTCATTTTTAAATTCCTGTGTCTTCAAGACCCTCCTTGGAATCTCCTAATACCTAACCAATATTTCGGCTGCTAGACAGATACCTGTTTATTTTCTTAGGCTTCCAAAGTTTTGCCTTTTATCTAGAATATTCTAATTGTGAATGCTATTTGTAGGTGCAACTTCATGTTTGTAAATACAAGATTTCATATTGATTGTATTATGTT